CCAGGGGACCAACCACGGTCAGTTTCTGGAGGTGAAAGAAAGTGATTAAATTTGGAAAGGATTGGGAGAACTTCAAATTCAAAGCCAAGTGCCATCAGTATGTGTGGCACGTGTTGTGAGCTGCCTTTGGAGTGAAAAACTTGTCAGCGCCTTCTAGGTTCAGCCTGGTCCCATAGCTCAGTGGTTAGAGCATTGCTCATGACAAGCAGGGTCCCAGGTTCGAGTCCTGGTGGGTCTGGCGTTTTTTTCTCTTCTCAGGCAGTTCACTTCCCCGACTGATCCTTTGAATTTGAAGTTCTCCCAATCCTTTCCAAATTATTATTATTATTATTATTTTAATAACGAAGGTACGTGTTGGGTCGTAAGTATCCACGCAAACACACATCCAGTCAAAATAAGGCACTTGTCAAAGTATCCGAACGTTTTCGGTCCCTTCTCATCAAGGATTATACAGGGAATGGCTCAAGTTGGAAAGACTAAAACTTATATAGCGTAAAGATATGAGATAACAACACTCGTGACAAGGTGGAAAAGTATCAAGTTCAGCACGACACATAAACTCGAAGGAAATAATAATAGCGACAAGAACATAGTGAGCAAATTAAGTTACATTGTTAACACCTCGACGAGGAGTAACACCAAACAATTGTAGCGACAACACATTTTCTTTCTGTACGCAAAGTTCAGGATCTAACTTACGGATATAAACAAATTGACAAAGGATCTGTCTGCGTCGGTAAGGGTTATGCGAAGCCAAGTAAAAATACGGACTGGTGAGGACGCACGTACAACGACAACGGAAGTGACAACAACAGTCAATATTCGAAAACGTGGTAGACCGCGAAAACGAACCTCAATATCGAACACCGGACAATTTGGAGTAAGAAGATCAATAGAAATCCGCAATGGAGGAGACGTAGCTGAAAGGACACTGGGCATCGCGCACACAACGGCTAGTGTCAGAAAACGTGGAAGGCCGCGGAAAAGCAAAGAGACGGGTAGTGATGATGCCGCGAAGAGGCGAGATGACGGGACATTGGAGGAGACTACACCCAACGGAGCTAAGAATCGCACTTCGTCCATCAAGCAACATCTGTCAGCCCGTACCAATTGTCGTGAGTTGTACAGTGATAATGTGTTCTCAATATTGTCACGTGGTAGATGTGCGTTGCATCTGGCTGTGTTAGAAGCTTTGTATATCCGTAAGTGAGATCCTGAACTTTGCGTACAGAAAGAAAATGTGTTGTCGCTACAATTGTTTGGTGTTACTCCTCGTCGAGGTGTTAACAATGTAACTTAATTTGCTCACTATGTTCTTGTCGCTATTATTATTTCCTTCGAGTTTATGTGTCGTGCTGAACTTGATACTTTTCCACCTTGTCACGAGTGTTGTTATCTCATATCTTTACGCTATATAAGTTTTAGTCTTTCCAACTTGAGCCATTCCCTGTATAATCCTTGATGAGAAGGGACCGAAAACGTTCGGATACTTTGACAAGTGCCTTATTTTGACTGGATGTGTGTTTGCATGGATACTTACGACCCAACACGTACCTTCGTTATTAAAGTATTATCCGCCTCCGACTTCTGGTAAAATTATTATTATTATTATTATTCAAAGGATCAGTCGGGGAAGTGAACTGCCTGAAAAGAGAAAAAAACGCCAGACCCACCAGGACTCGAACCTGGGACCCTGCTTGTCATGAGCAATGCTCTTACTTCTCTTCCCCGACTGATCCTTTGAATATGAAGTTCTCCCAATCCTTTCAAAATTATTATTATTATTATTATTATTATTATTTGAAACTCGGGTATTGAGCCAATAATAAAATTAGAATGGAAAAGGACACATGGAAGCGAGTTAAGAGTAACTCTCCACCACTGTAACTAGATACTATATACAGTCAGAGAGTTACTCTTAACTCGCTTCCATATGTCCTTTTTCTTTCTAATTTTATTATTATTATTATTATTATTATTAGAAAGGAAAAGGACATATGGAAACGAGTTAAGAGTAACTCTCCACCACTGTAACTAGATACTATATACAGTCAGAAAGTGCAACCACTAGGCACAAAACTGACAGAGTACTGAGACATTCGACGTCCTGACACCTAGCTTCAACACATCTCCGTAGCGCTAACCGACAGCCTTCCAACTTGGAAGGTTCAAGGTTATGGAAAGACCAAAGAGGGGAAGGCAAGCGCAACGAAAACGAGCACAAGCTACAGTCCCAACGGAACAAAGAATGTCGATTGTCACTGGACGATGACGAGACCAGTAGGCGATTTGACAAAGCGGTCTTACTACAATTCGAAGCAGCAAAGCAGCACACCACCCAACTTGGGTGGGTCAAAATATCAAAGATAAGTTAAGAAGGGGGAAGCTTTGCGAGAACGAATTGTACAAGCCGAAATCTAAACTCCTACAGTACTCCTCATGCATGACATTGTGATGGACTAGTTGACTACAAAACAAGTTGTTTCACACGACGTACGTTTCGCCGTATGGTTCGTGACGGCTCATCAGGTGTGCAATTTGAAACTCGGGTATTGAGCCTATAATGTCATGCATGAGGAGTACTGTAGGAGTTTAGATTTCGGCTTGTACAATTCGTTCTCGCAAAGCTTCCCCCTTCTTAACTTATCTTTGATATTTTGACCCACCCAAGTTGGGTGGTGTGCTGCTTTGCTGCTTCGAATTGTAGTAAGACCGCTTTGTCAAATCGCCTACTGGTCTCGTCATCGTCCAGTGACAATCGACATTCTTTGTTCCGTTGGGACTGTAGCTTGTGCTCGTTTTCGTTGCGCTTGCCTTCCCCTCTTTGGTCTTTCCATAACCTTGAACCTTCCAAGTTGGAAGGTTGTCGGTTAGCGCTACGGAGATGTGTTGAAGCTAGGTGTCAGGACGTCGAATGTCTCAGTACTCTGTCAGTTTTGTGCCTAGTGGTTGCACTTTCTGACTGTATATAGTATCTAGTTACAGTGGTGGAGAGTTACTCTTAACTCGTTTCCATATGTCCTTTTCCTTTCTACTTTTATTATAGGCTCAATACCCGAGTTTCAAATTATTATTATTATTATTATTACACAAGAGAGAGTTTGGGAACTTTGTTACAACTCTGAGTTTCACGTCTTACTACGATCATCAGGCAACTGATGGATCCAAAACGGGCAGCCAGAACATAAGGGGGGGGGGGGTAAGGTGGGAAATTCAGGAGGGTGTCATAGGCGACGCGTATCATAGCGCAGGAGTCAGGTGCAGGCGTGAAGTTGCCAAGTCTTCAGACTTGAGGCTATGCAGCAGTAGTTCCAGCGTGAATGATATAGAATAGAGCTGGGGACAAATGCCAAATCCACACATGCCCACACCACTACACAAATATACACCCACACTCTCTCCCTTTTCTCATATACACATACACTCACACGCGCGCCGACACATTCATTCTCTATATCTCACACACTCACATAAACACCACATACCAACCATGTGCACCCAACCACCCCCCCCCCCCCCCCCCAACACACACACACACACACACACACATACACACTAGGCAGCGGGACTGCCAGCTAGATTCACTTGACCTTGCGGGCAAAGGTACAGTGGTAGAACTGAACTTGTTTTCATGACGACACTTGGACACAAGCTCTGACCTCTTGTTGAGGGAGCGGGTCTTGTCGGCCCAGGCAATCTCCAGCTTCTCGCCCAGACACAGGTTGCAGCGCTTCGAGATGTTGGAGTATGGTGCGGCTCTCCTCACAACGGACCACCTGATACTGTAAGGTTTGTTTTCATCCTTCAGTCTCCAGATGGGTCTAGACAGTCTCGTTGAGGTCTCGTGCTTCTTGTGGCGAATAGTACTTCGAAGTATGTTGATGACCATTGAATCGTGTCTTGATTGTCCCTTCCGTTAGTCCAGTGTACTCCTTCATGTCGCTGCCGGTTACATGTGCCCTGTACACAATGCTCGATGCTAGACAGTTTCCTTCCAAGGGGCAATCATTTTTGACATGGCAGTTGCAGGTTCTCACATCCTTGGTCTTATTCTGGTGGTCGCTGCGGAGGATACTATTGTCGTGTTGCTTGATGATGGTGGCGACATTTGGCATGCAGCTGTAACTGAGCTTTAGCGTGTTCAGGTTAAATATCTTGTATAATTTGCATCCTTTGTGGAAGTGCTTGCTGACGAGTTGCAGGACTCGCTGACCAATGTTTGTGTGATAATACGATAGGGAGAGGAGTAATTGCGTGAATGTTTCTGCTGGCCACCCCTATAACATAGACAGCTATGACCGCTGCGGGTTTTTGACGTGTGATTGCAGGAGTTTGTGTGCGCTTAGATTTGTCATACGAACGCAGATGCCTGTGTATGCGTATGGACATGTGTCTATAGGGGTGTGTATATGCGTTGGTGCGTGTGTTTGTGCGTGTGCGAGTTAGGGTGTTGTGGGTGGGTGGGTGTCTGGGTGTGCGTGCCCCCGTGTGCAAGTTAGGGTGATGTGGGTGGGTGTATGTGTGTGTGTGTGTTAGTGTGTGCGTGTGGGTGTTACTATGTGTGTGCGTGTTAGTATGTGTGTGTGTGTGTGTGTGTGTGTGTGTGTGTGGTGTGTGAGCGAGATTAAGCGCATACCTGTTAGTGCTAGACCTGCGCCTACTGCATCTGCCTCTGAAATAGCCTGTCCCTGTATACATTCACGCGATTACTCCTCTCGCTATCGTTTATCACACCTCTCTCCACTGAGATATACCAGCGCTGCCTCCTATTCCATTATCGTTGTCTGATGATTGGTTCAGCCATGAAACTCTGAGTCACAACGGAATTAATTTGCCAAGGTTTTCATTGTGTGCCTTTGTGTCTATTGTATAAATAATAATAATCCCTAGTCATAACTCGTAACAGGTTGTCTTTCTCCTCTGAGACGCCAAATAAAGTAATACGAAATTCTTCCAGGAAGTGATGTACATCCTATCAAAATTATACTTTGTTCTCCCAGAGATTTGAGAGGTAATCAACTTGTTCACCTACCTGCCGGACTGTTCAACGCCACAACCAAATTACAAAAGCTGTAAGTCATGTTGTGCATGTACTGTAAAAAGGCGTTTTTTGGCGTAGTTCTGTTCTTTTGAGATGTGGCAAATGGGATTTCGGGATTTGGCATTTCGCTAATTGATCTCATGTACCCTCCCCCACCCTTTATGACCTGAATCTGACGCCGCTTGTGGAAGACTTTTCCAGGTAGAGCTCCGTATTGGAAGCAAAGAGCTGAGCAAAGAGCTCGTTTTCACGAATGGAAGCCTCTTCATTCGTGGCACACGACCGCAGAGACGCTTTGGGGTGGGTCACCCTTACATCGAAAAACGCGCTCTGCTGCCGTGTCCAAAAGCCAAGAGCTCGGATGTCCACTCTCGCTTGGTCGGCATGAGATCCACTGACATCCTTGCCGTCCAGGGACAGGAGGACTGGTTCCCGTTCAACGTCCGGGACGACGACAGATAGAAGCTCCGAGAGCAAATCCCGGATCTCGTTGTGACGAGCCGTGGGATACCCGCCGGCAGGGCAGGTCATCGCATGATCCACCGTAAAATCGGGACTCCCACGGCAGATACATGACGTCGGCAAATCATGCAGCGCCAGACCATACCGCAAAGCTAGGCCGTCGCGGAAATCCGACTTCGACAATATGGTGCCGTGTTCGTACGTGGGTGGAGACATTACCCACGTCGAAACGCCCTTCTCCTTTGAGGTGTCGAGAAGAAGTCGCTGAGGTGGTGTTAGAGACGGTCCCAGCTCGCTGACGGCGTCCACGAGGGACTCACGAAACTGAGCGCGTGTGTGCCCGGCAACTGCCCTGGACGCTGCAATTGCATCCACCACCCGAGGTCGCCGCCGAGCAAGCCCCGAAGCACCACCCGCACAAACCCCAGTGCCGGGGCTGAGACTCCGAGCGACCTCCGATGCCGCATCATCCGCACCCGCGGCAACGAGGAACTCCACAATCGGGCCAGTAGAAGCACGAGACAGCTCTAGCTGTCTTGGCACCCTCGGACGGGACGGGGATGCCTAGACCACCGAGGCGGACAGGCAACGACAACAGCTTACGGAGGGACTCCGGCAGCTCGTCTCGACCGAAAATGCCCTCGCAGAAACGGACGATCACATTGTCCAATGGACCAAAGGCGTCGGCAGGGACCTCACACACTCGCTGCAGAAACCTCCACTTTGCCTGCACTGCGGTCGAGAAGACGTGGTACGCAGCCTGGGGTTGGGTTTTGGCGAGCACCGTCAGACGATTCATCAGCGTTAGCCAGGTGTTGATCTGGGACGAGACCTGACTCGCCACAAACTCGTTGGACCCGATGTAACCACCCAGGTACCGAACACCATCCGATCGGATTGCAATTCCTGTCCCGTGGAACACTTCCTTCGCTGTTTGCTCAAGCTCGGGCTTGACTAGGAGGATAGACTTCTGGGCATTTGGGAAATACCCGTAGCGTGGACCGATGCTGGGTATGCATCTCCAGTAATCTCTGAGGGATGCGAGCTTGGCGGCGGCAGCATCATCATCGGCGAACCACAGTTGCCCACAGTCCGGAGAGGCAAGAGACAGCCTCTGCGCCAGCGGGGACATGGCTAGGGCATAGAAAGCCATTGCCAGGGGGTCACCCTGACAGGTCCCCTCCCTGGACAACACTGTCAGGCCACCCTCCAAAAACAGAGGGATGTCCGACTGATAGAGGTTGACGAACGCACGGCCGGCGGCGGGGCAAATGCATGGGATATTGTGCAAAGCAGCAGACCTGTTCATGGCGATAAATGCGTTGGAGGCATCCACAAGAAGAATGCCATCGCATGACTCGGACTGAAACTCTTGGCCTAGAATACCGACGGCAACTCCACAGGCAGATGGAATGCCAACGCACAGTTGGTAAGGCGTAACAGCCAGGAGGACATCCCGATCGATAGCACTCATGATGGCTTTGCATATGACTCTCTGAAACACCTCGCCAATCGCAATTGGGTGGACTCCAGGTTGCTTGTCGAGTGGTATTAGCCTTGCAGCGAGGAATGGCCGAAGGCAGGTCTCGTCCAACGTTTCCGTGCAGATACACTTGGCCGCCCTCGAGAGAACGCCGCACAAGGAATCAGATGCGCCATCGTAACTGGTCATCATCCGCCTCCAGGCAGCAGAATCCAAGGCCGATGGCCCAGCAGCGCCCGACAATCGAGAAGCCTGTCTACGGATTATGGCGGGCGTGATCTTGTCATACAGTACCGGCTCAGGTGGGTCCGGGCCGCCGGGAAGAAGGATATCGGGTTGAGCATCCACTGGAGCGGGGTGCTTTTCCTTGAGGACATCAAGGACCCGGCGCCCCGGCGCCACCTCTTCAGAGAGGTCAAGTACCCTTCCAGAGGCATTCGACTCCACATAACAGTTCCCTCTTTGCCATGGCTAACCATTCCGGCGAAAACAATGTCGTCTATCCCATCGGATTGCCTGGACGAGGAGCGGGTTGGCAAGTGTGCCTGCAAGCAACGGCACTCACGCAATAAGCCGTCGAAATCCCCAGTCCTCCACCGCTCCATTCGGCCTGCGAGATGCCTCCGGGTTTCTTTAGACAAGTCGGCACCCAGGGGCTTCTGGAGAAGCAAATGACAGGCCGCGACCACAGTTGACTGGGGCCGGCGCCCTCAGCGTGCTCAGCGCGTACAGAGTGTTGCATGCATTGCCATGCAGGGCACAGTCATGTGGATCCGATGCAAACACCCATATACGAATGGTACGGGGCCAGGCATCCCTTTTTTGGTATTTTTGACAAGAGTATGTTGGAAGTCGATTCCAACGACTAGGTCGAAGACGTGTGAAGCGTTTCCAACAAGTGGATGGCTTTCGTACTAAAGACTACAGCACTAGCCAATGGCTAGCTTTCCCACTAAAGAACACAGCACTCGCCAATGGCTAACCTTTGCGGAATTCCACCCCCCCCCCCCCCTCTCTTCACGGCCACGTGTTAACCATTGCAACGAGAGATGTGCAAAGAAGCATTTGTGGTGTAATCTGAGAAAGATGAGGAACGTCCCCAACCACCAGTATTTCCCTGGAAAAGAACTGTGCAGAAGAGAGCACATAGATGCGCTCTACCGACCTGGGTTAGGAAGCAGGCACGTTCATGACTTGACCGGCTATAAGAAAACCCTGGTAAGCGAGCAAAACATCAAAGCAATGGAGATACGAGCAGAAAGAGAAGGTCGAGGCTGGTGTTACAGTGAAGACGAAAGCGGGAAGTGGCGCTTAGCCCACACTAGGCCCTGACGGACTTCAGCACATACAGCATTTTGTTGAAAACAACCGCTATTCCAGCAGCGAGAAAGCAGCAGCCGACTCTGCTAATGTCGGTCCAGCAGGCGAATCAGTAGGTGCAAGGCTAGGCAGGTGAGACGGCGCCTATCAGAAACCCATCGCATTGGCTTCCGCATAAGAAAGTCGTCCTCACAGAGGCACACAAGCTCCACCGTCTTGTGTGGGCAATCGTCAACCAAGACCATGCCTTCGACCAGACGGTATCCGCCGACGAAGCTTGCTTCGCTGCCTGCCCCGACGGTCGAATCATGTTCTGGTTTCCTCACGATTCTGTGCCTGTTCTTGAGCAGTCACAGCATCCGGCGAAGGTGCACGTCCTCGGCGCTGTGTCTCTGTCACTTAACGCGCAGCAGCACATCCTCGACAACGGCATGCCAATCATTGCGTTTCAACCTGCTCGTTCACCAGACCTAAACCCGATCGAGAACATTTGGAGCTTGCTGAAACGATGACTGGCGGCACACAACTGCCAAACTGCAGATAAGCTGCACAAGGCTCGGATCTGCCAATGTGGCGAGTTTAGCAACATTCATGCCAAACCGTCTGCAGGAAGTCATCGCAAATAATGGTGGTCACAGCAGATACTAGCTTCCCAGCTTCCCAGCTACTGCAAATAAAACTATCATGACAAGTATCATGACAAGAACACTAAAAACACTAAAAACGAAGTTTTGCTTAGCGGAGGAAGTATACAAAATTCCATAATTTGAGTGAAAGACACAAACGGAGACAGTCTGAAGAAAAATTTGACTGTCACCACCAGGACTCGAACCAGGGATCCTCACTTGTAGCCAGCGATGCTGTAACCACTGAGCTATTGGTTGGTTGGATTTATTTAAAGTCGTACAACAAACAGGCATATCTGCCTCCTTATATGAAGACCACTTCTGGCAGTAAAACATTTTAAAGAAAAGAGAAAGGAAAAAAAAGAAAAAAAGAAGAAGAAGAGAAGATCAAGAATGCATCCTGAGCATACAGCTAGCCGGAGACTGAGCACAGCTAGCCTAAGCTATGGTGTAGTCGCCATCCCAGCAGAGTCCGTCAACATTTTTTTCAGACTTCGTTCCTCACGCTTTGTGTTAATCTACACCGGTGGGTGGGATGCAGACCTCACTGTTACCCACACACTTCACGTACAATGTAGGAGCAGGAGCAGCGACGGCAGGTGCAGCAGCTGTGGGAGCAGCAGCAGGTTGAGCCATAACTTGATGACTGACTAGGTAGACCACAGCCACCAATGTAGTGGGTACTAAAAACGAGACTGGCGTTCCATAAATAGTCAAGGGACGAGTTCACGCACCGCTGCCACCAATGTAGTGGTAGACGAGTGAAGGCACAGAGCACGGATTAACTTTTAATCGACCTTCAGGTACACGCCTGGATTGTTAGGTAAATAAAAGAAGCGTTCGTTCGTGGTTCTCCTCTTCCCAGAGCGCGGCACCGTGGCACTAAGTGCAACGGGCGTGCAAGTTGCAAAGGAGCGAGGGTCAGTGGTCATTTCTGCTACAATGCCGGAGGGAAAACTTTATTCCGCGATTTATAACCCAGGGTACCCGACGGCCAAGGTCTTCCAGGCACAAGCAAGTCCGCCAAAGAAGAAGACACCAGCACTGCCTTCATCTTCTGAGCGACGCCATAGAGGAAAAGTGTGCAGAGAAGGACTTTCGCTTGAGACAGAGCACGCACTTTCGGGACAAGCTCTGGTCA